TATAGATTGACTGGTGAGGCATCATGGGTGGGTCGTGTTGTGGGAGGATCGACATCGGCACCTTCCCCATAGAGAGCCCATTTTTGATGACCTCTTGATGTATGCTGAGGATTATTATGAGTGGTTCAACAGTAACGGGAAACCTTTTCTACTTCCCGAGAATGCACGAGGGCAGACTTTCCACGACAGAGACGTTCACCGACACAGCACCATCGTCCCCTGACTTGTGGAATGAGAGCAGGTACTTCCGGTTCATCCTCAGCTGCACCAGCAGGACCTTCCCAGCAGCCACCGCAACCATATATGATGCCGTCATCGCCTTTCCATTACCAGATGCCACCGCCTTCACCTGGTTTTATGACCCCGCCACCGTCACAGATGACCCCTCCTGGAGGCTATTATGGGTCTATGTTTGTAGATCTGACTTGGGGTTCATATGCAGGATATTTGGCGAGTTCAACCTCATCACTCATGGCCGCAACACAGACACCTCCTGTACAGTTTTCACACTCAGCGATGTCTGGGTTTTCCCAGTTTTCGTAGGCCGGTGGGATAGTCAGTCATACACCTCCAGGGTCCTTATTCTATGGAGGTGCTTCATCGTCATCAGCTCCTCATCAACTTAATGTGCCTGCTCAGGACGACGACGATGATGGTGACAACGACGACGATGACGATGGTGACAACGACGACGACGACGATGATGACAGCGAGGAGTCAGAACTAGTGATACGAAGAAATCCTCCTCGAGACCGACAACCACCGCCCTGCGAAACACATTCGCGACGTAGGCATCGATAGATTTTTTTATTATATTTGTGTATTTACTTTATTTTGTTTAATTGTAATTTTTTATTATTTCTCATTTAATACTTACTTTATTTTGTTAAATTTGTTGGACTTTTTTTAATATATTTCAGTTAATTTTGTTTATTACCATTTAATATCAGTTATTGTAATTTGGTTATCATTTAATTCTTATTGTAAGTTTGTTGTATTTAAATACCAAATTGTTATTAGTTTGATAAAATTTAATGATTGTGTTCGCTTTTTTAATCTTCATCAGCGATTATCGAATGACATTAACTTGAAGTAAATGCAAATTAAAATACAAGAATTATTATTTGATAAACAAATACATCATTTTCTCATCAATTGTTACTTGATGACAACAGAAGTGGACATGTTTTTCTAGTGTGTCCTGGGTTTCTACAATGGCCACATCTTCTGTCTTGTCTAGATCTTTCTCGAATATCCATATCATAATGAATTCGATTGGATTTTGGACGACCACGCTCCCTCAATAAACTCGGATTTGGTACAATCGGAAGCCAATCTTGAACCTCATCAGGGTCTTTGTCATTACCTATGGGGGGAAACTCAAATTCGTATACCTTAAAAACTTCAGATAGTAGGTATACGGGATCCACAAAATGGTTATAGTCTTGACGTGTATGCGAGCAAGCTGCTATCACATGAGAGCATGGATACTTCAGAGCTTGAAAAAACCCACAGTTGCACGTTCTGTCCATTAGATTTACTCTTAACGACACAACTTCAATCCCTTGAAGAGGTCGCGGCAACTCTGTGACACGAAACATTTCATGCCTTCTTGAGAAGCTTGTTACAGACATTCCATTTGATGCAACAATTTTTTTCTGTAGATCTGCAACTAATCTAGGGTGATAGACATGACTGCCTTGCATCCAGGTTTGAGCTTGTCCCCCGAGCTTCGCAAAAGTGACCCCAAACGAAAATATATAGTTTTTACCAAAACCGCTACAGGTAAGTGAATTGCACCCTTTAAGGTTGAATTGATTGCCTCATACAAGTTGGTCTTCATGTGTCCATATCGATATCCACCATCATATACGTTCGTTCATATTTCGTTATCGATGAGGCTGATGTAATCGTATCCTTCCTCGTTCTTCGCCCGCAAATCTTGAAGCATTGATTCAAACGTTCGAGGAAGTAGTTCGTAACCTGTTCAAAAAATGTATAACTTACTAACTTGCTTTCTTTGCAAAATTAAAAATAATAAAAAAAATGTATAACTTACTAACTTACTTTCACTTACCCATGCGCACAATTAATTAACGCTCATCATTCTTCTTGTACCTTCCATGACAGTTCGCAGCAATGTGTCGGAGATAATACATATGTTGGACAAAGGGTGGTTGCCACCAAAGACTCCATTGCTGCTTTGATCCCAGCTCCGCAATATGAAATGACACAGATTTTTTCCCTCGTGATAACATGTGCACGTAAATTTCGGAGGAAAAAAGCCCAAGAATCTGTATTTTCTCCTTCGACAAGAGCAAAAGCAACTGGAAGAATGTTGCGATTGCCATCTTGGACAACTGTCAATAATAAAATTTGCTTGTATTTTCCATACAAGAAAGTACCTTCGATCTGGACCACATGCTTGCAGTATTTGACAGCATTAACGCACTGTGGGTAACTCTACAAAACACGGTAGAATTGGCATCGATCGCGAAGAACTTGATCATTATGGTATGCATAGGAGGTTTCGAAGTCCACGATTATCCCAGGATTCAACGTCCGCACCAACCTAAACCAACATGGAAGTTCGTTGTAAGATGCATCTGATTCGCCATGAAGTTTGACAATGACATTTTGTTTTACCAACCAAGCTTTTTATAGGAGACGGTGTACCCATACTGCGATTGTATAGCTGAAATCAACACTGCAACAGCTATATGAGAGCTTGCTTTTACCATGGGCATGATGGCTTGGCATATCACTTAAGAGTCCAAGTTGAGATGATCTTGGTTGACCCCTCCAGCACAACATGTGTGAGGACCGTTGTATACTGTTAGTTCTCATATGTTGTTTTTCCTCTTCATTTTCGATACGCGAACCATCCAATTACATCCGTTTTCGCGTCGGGCACGGTAGCATACATATTTTTCGGTCGTCGATCGGTTGACTCTAGACTGAACAGAATTACAGATATTGTAATTTTTGATAGTCATCATCGCTTCTTCTTTGCTTGAAAACTCCATGCCTAAAGATAACTCACCATTATTTATTGATAATTAATATCCATAGTAACTGAGATGAGGCATATCCACAAATTCTAGCCCGTACATTGCACCATAATCAGCTTCATACATGTGTGCATGAGGGTCAGTTTGTGCCACATTTCCTGGAACTTCATCATCATCGGAGTTGAATTGCGGTGATTATGGGTGAATGAATAGTCCAGTCTCAGCACCATCCGCACTAGGCTCACGAAGCAGTTCTTCTGGTGGAGATGATGGTTCCTCCATGCTCTCCACATTTAGGTCGAAGAACCTACTACTACTTGCACACCTTCCCCTTAAACTGGAAGGTATATCGACATTGAGATCGAAAAAGCTCGCAGTCGAATGCCTCCCCCTAGAGCTTGAAGCCATCGTGTCAAATGGAAACTGCACAGATGGTTGCGTCGATGGCATCTCCATATGGTCAAAGAAATTTTCAGATGAATGCCTTCCCCTTGAACTGGACGCGGTGTTGCCATACAGATTGTTCGTAGACCCACCTCGTACATATCGTAAGGAGTTGCGGATGAATATTCCCCATTATGGCATTAAAATCATTACAGATTACTGTAGTCGGGCTGTCAACTTGATCAACTTGTTTAGCCAGCCCATAGTGTGAGCTTAAAGATTGACCCCGAACAACACGCACTTGAACAAAATGTGCATACTTCTCAATAGCGGCGTCTGAATAATTACGTTGAACTTCAACCATCATTTGAACATCATCATTGTTCGAAAGTTCGAACGCTGTATAAGTTAATGGCAACAATGATGTTGAAAATCTGTACTGCAACGACAACATTCTTCTGTTACTTCCAACATGAGTGTTCATCGAAATCTTCGTTATCAGCTCCTCAAGAGTTATGTTTCTCTTAAATGATATTTTAGCATGCTCATTTAATACGAAAAACAACGCCATATTCATCTTCTCGAATTTCACCATTATAATAAACAATAGCTGAAAGTCGCGCCATTCTTTGAGTTTAAAAGTGCGGTAATATTATATCTGCAAAAAAATAACTTAAACAAACCTGATTAAATAAATTATATATGAACGAAAATATAACACAAAATTTTTTTACACATCAACGTAAATAAATTAAATAATATAATTTTATATTATTACCTGCACCGCAAAACTATTTCGACGTATGCTCACTCTTTTCAATTTTACAAACATAAAAATTAATTAAAAATAATTATTATAATATTTTTTCAAATAATGATAATAAATAATAAGTATAATTAAAAAATTATAACAAAATTACCTTATAACGAAAAATCGCACGAACTTCTAAATCAAATATAAGAAGATTGCCAGAATTATTATTCGTTGACGAAATTGTTGTATTAATTTATAAGAGAGAAGAGATGCGAGGAGATGTGAGGAGAGATGCGAGAACGGGATGTATTTATAAACATATAAGGTGCGGTACTTGCACCTCGTTATATGTAATTATTATATAGCGCGGATCAATGACCGCGTTAAATATAATTTTGGTACAACGTATATCACGGCTATTGATCCGCGCTATACGCCTACGTGGCGTATAACACGGAACAGGGGGCGCGCTATACCCCTCGTGCAACCCAGTCAGTGTAAAGTGCGGTATAGAAGGACTATATTTCACGTGACGTCAAATCAATATATAACACAATTCAAAAGACGTGCTTTACTGCGATGAATGTTAAATCAAAAAATATAATCTAATCGATGTTAGATCGATCCCCCGTAATTTTTAGGAAAATCGCCTAAAATCAATGATCCACTGACAATAACAATAATAACACAGAATGACTATAATAAGCTTTCCACTATGACAAGATGGAGTTAGGGAGCACTAATTGCTGAAGAATAAAAATAAGAATATATTTGAGTGAAGGGTTTGCCCAAATTTTGCCTCTAGAAGTCGCATCATTGCCAGCTGTTAAGCCCTCCTTTTCCTTTTAACTCACATCTTCGCTCTTTGACTCTCACTGTTGGTTTACACTTGCATCTCTCTCTTTAGTGACCTCATATGTATCATCATTTCTTTGCTAGTTCCTCTCCTCCGCCTCACATTCTGTCTCTCCCTCGTTTATTGACAGAAAACAAGCAAGATTACTTTGTAATTTGACCCTGTTCTTTTTAGATGCTGAATAAACGAAAGTAGCCTGTGAGAGAAGAAGAAGAGGAGGAACAAAAGACAAAGGGAAATAATGTCTAACTATTCATTCTTAAACCACCAGCTCTCGAAAAGCACCTCCATTTTCGGCTTGCGTTTGTGGGTTGTTCTTGGAATCTGCGTTGGAGCTGCTATCGTCATCGTTCTCTTCCTTATCTCCCTCTGGTTCACTTCTAAACGCCAAAAGAAATCGACCCGTAGCGGCCACAACAGCAGCTTTAAACCTACTCATAACTCTATCGTCCCCAGTGTTTCCAAAGAGATTCAGGAAATCCGGGTCGACCCATCTCATCATTCTAATCCTGACGCTAAGCTTCACCAAGCTTCGAACCCCGACCCACTTCCAGAATCGGAACATGTAGTGGTTCTTCATTCAGAAGAAGACAACAGCGCCGTCTCCGGGCGCAACAGAATTCACATTGAGATAGGGAAGGATCATCGGATTGCATATCCCGAACGTGGAACCGGTTCGGGTCATGGATCGGGTGAATCCCGGTCTGGTGATCAGGGGATGACGATTATGGCGGCTCCGGAAGTTTCCCACTTGGGCTGGGGACATTGGTATACTTTGAGAGAGCTTGAGGAGTCTACTAATGAGTTTGCTCCCGAGAATGTGATTGGTGAAGGCGGTTATGGAATTGTTTACCGTGGTGTTTTGGAAGACAATACTAAAGTTGCTGTGAAGAATCTACTAAATAATAGGTAAAAGAGCTATATTTTTCCTTCAAATTGCAGGCTATTTGTGAGTTTTAGATGCATTTGTTGGATTAGGCGTGACTTTCTCAAAACTGATAGGAAGGTTTACTGCATGGAGTTTTATGTTGATGAAAATTGGGTTTTTCATGTACTTTTCTATAGGGGTCAAGCTGAAAAGGAGTTTAAGGTTGAAGTGGAAGCAATTGGACGCGTAAGACATAAGAATTTGGTGAGATTGCTTGGTTATTGTGCGGAAGGAGCTCATAGGTACTCTCACTGACTCATTCTCTGTTTTTTGTTGCATATGGATGTTGAGTGGCAGCATTTGAAGTTTTGATTTTTTGTTAGTGTTTTCTACTTTTTCGAATTGTAAAACCTTAGTATCGTGCAAGCATTTGCTAACAACATACTGAATTGATGCCTATAGGATGCTTGTTTATGAATACGTTGACAACGGGAATTTAGAACAATGGCTTCATGGAGATGTTGGGCCTTGCAGTCCTCTTACATGGGAGATCCGTATGAATATAGTGCTTGGAACCGCTAAAGGGTAAACTTTTTTGGTTGACTGAAAAGGGTAACACAGCTTGAATTGTCCTTGCTTTCCTCCTCCATGTTGCTGACATCGTTTTTTTTTTGCAAACTTGAAATTTGATTCAGATTGACATATCTGCATGAAGGACTTGAACCTAAGGTTGTTCATCGTGATATCAAGTCGAGCAATATTTTGCTTGATAAACAGTGGAATGCAAAAGTATCTGACTTTGGCCTAGCAAAGCTCTTGGGTTCGGAAAGGAGCTATGTGACAACTCGTGTGATGGGAACATTTGGGCAAGTTGAATATCTCTTTGTGAAAATCATTTTGGTTATCTAATGATTTGATATGATCGGTCATGGCTGATCCATTTGTACCGGCTCTGTTTTGTAGATATGTAGCTCCTGAATATGCTAGCACTGGCATGTTAAATGAGCGAAGTGATGTATACAGCTTTGGCATTCTTCTCATGGAAATAATTTCAGGAAGAAATCCAGTGGATTACAGCCGGCCTCAAGGAGAGGTTCGTAGATATTGATTTAGTTAATCGATAATGTTTACCTATGATCATTTCTAGATGGCTCTTCTTGGTCCTTTTCATTAAAAAATGTTTTCAATTTATGTAACTTTCATCAACTTTTTAGGTAAATCTGGTGGAATGGCTTAAAACAATGGTTACCAACAGGAATGCGGAGGGTGTTTTGGATCCAAGGTTACCTGAAAAACCTTCTTCCAGAGCACTGAAACGAGCCCTTTTAGTTGCTTTACGCTGTGTAGACCCAAATGCTCAAAAAAGGCCCAAGATGGGGCATGTGATTCATATGCTTGAGGCTGATGAGTTTCCATTTAGAGATGTAAGTTGAAACATGATCTCCAAGATTCATATTTGTATTTTACACTTACCATTGTTGAGTTTTAACTGTGTGTTTCCCTTTGCTTGTGGTTGTTAAAATTTAATGGAGGAGCACGTGCATTTCATAGACCAACTAGATTATCATTAATTTTGTCATACAATTTTTTCTTTCATACTTTTTTTCCTAGATGTTTCATTTTTAAGGAAATGTTAAGTCAATTTAATACAACTAATCATATTTTAAAATTGTTTAGTTAGCATAATGTATAAATCGTGCATGCTCTGTTCATTATTGCCCTTGTTGATGAGAAATTGAGACAAGATTAGTTGCTTTCAGTGATACTTGAGTTTAATTGGGGAAACGGAAAAAAAGTACCCATGTGCCTCTAGGATCTATTAAATGATATTTTGGTCCAACCTTGTAAAGATAATGCTTTTGCAAAATCGCATATCTTGAACGTGTAAATCTTGCCAAGATGTGTTGGTGTGATTCTGCCACATGGTCTTTTTATTAGCAGATTATTCTGTTTCATCTGTATTTTCTTGCTGCATTTAAATTTCAGGACCGTAGAGCTGGAAGGGATAACATGCGCTCCACACAAGATGGTGTGAAGGATAGATTGGCAGAGAAACCTATGAATGAATCAGGTGACAGCAGTGGATATGAAAGTGGTGCCCAAACTAATAGATCATTATGGAGAAAACCAGAATCTGAAGAGCAATAGCTGTGCAAAATCAAAGTTAAGCTGAATCGACTACGTTCTTCAGAGCCAGCTCAGGCAAACACACTACTTTCCCATCTCCGTATGTGTATAAATATGATTCATGTTGTCTCTCAATGCGATATATACTTTTTGTTTGTAGATTATGTAGGCCTTTATGCCAATTTTAGTATATTCCATTTGCTAATTAGATGCATGTAATACTGTTTCTTCATTTAACTTTACTAAGTTTTTGGCTTATGATATTATTTAGTAGTAAGATTTTTCTGTGCTGTCATGCTCTAAGCAGGCCATTAATACCATGTTACTATTTTCAATGCTAAATATCATTTTTTTTTGTCTGTTACTCAGGTAGATGATAATGGTGTTACTATAATCTGATTATTCTTTATTGATGCAGGATGACTGAATTATTAGAATCAAAGTAGGAACAAATGCAAAATCCAATTTTGTATAGCCTGATTCTATTATTTTCTGTGTAACTCAACTGCCGACAGACAAGAGAGTACATCAATAGATTGTTATTTTTTTACAAAAGATTCTACTTTTAATGTCCAAATGGTTGAATCTTGACAAAATCCCTTTGATTAGAAGCGACTAAATGACAAAATATCTGCTGTACCATGTTGGGTAGGGATATGCTATTTTCATTGTTTTCAAAGTCCAAGGCTCAAAATAAAGATGAGCTCACAAGGCTCCTGACGAAAGGTCTGTTCAGTAGTTACAAGACACAAGCCTCTCTTGTTCAGACACAACTTGACTCGACTTGTCGGAAAAGGAGATACTCGTACGATGGTTGGCAAGAAGATGACAAAGTTAAAAACTTTAGCTCATTATTTCTCTCTCCAAACTTCCCTCGATCTACTTGGATACTTCATTAATTTTGACATTTTCATACATTTTCTTCGTTATTGGGTAGATTCAGCTTATTTCATCTTCGAACGAGCTGTTTTCCAAGAAACTGATCTCATTGAACTTGATGAAACAGTTGAGTCCTACGGTTCACAAGCATCCCTAACGAATTGTCATACGGGCCTTATTTCGGCATGAGAAAAACTTCGACAGCTAAAGGTCTTTGATTGGGCTTGCTATCATTTCTCATTTTGTGTGGTTTTTCATCTTTTAATGAAGGTAGCTTCCTCTCTTTCCTGATTAAGCCTTTTGGTCCCCCACAAACAAGGCTAATGTCGAAGAATTTTATACGAGATTTCGCTTGTCATCTGTTGATTAAGATTCCATTTCACAACATAAAAGCTCAATCGCAGATCAAATTTTCCTACATTCCAGGTTCGTAAAACATGATAGGCCTAGATTTTGGACCCCATTAATTGAACAAAGTTTGCTTTTGTTTCCGCTATCAATGCCCCCAAACTTATATATAATTTTCCCGTTTTGGTATGTTGATTCTTCCACGTTTCTTTGGGACCGAGTTCTTGTATAATTAACAACATTTCTTCTTTTTTTGGTAAATAATTAACAACAATGAAGAAGGATTTCATTTAAAGAAGAATAAATCTTTGGTTAAAAGTAATTTAGATAGCTTCTCTCTTCTTCTGTCTGAAATATTTTGTGAGATATGTAAATATCTATATGACTTCTCATCTGTTGGGAAGAAAAGGCCTTTAAATTTCGAAACACATTAAAGGTGTCGAGAACTGTATACATGCTGGAATCTGGAAACAAATAAGAAACTTTCTGAAGATATATCTTCTTTTATTTTGTCTTTGCCTTTTAGTTTTGCTATTTTGAATCTGAAATGTTTGGGACTATGCTAAATACATTACTCATGTGATTTTTTTGGTGGAACTAGTGAAGATCTGATATTATTTCAAAATAATGGTTCATTCATCGCCTCAAACCCACCAACAATAAAACAAAAATGAAGCCTGGCATTATTGGGGGTAATAGGCTGCTGACCTTCTCTTGATTCATGGAGTTTTGAATAATAAGGGGTCCTACCTCGAGGTTGAGAACTACTACCGACGGGGCTTTATACTGTGACGGAATTCTGATCATCCACTTGAGTTAACCGAAAAACACCCGAGGAATTTCTTCATTGATCTCTACACTCAGGAACAAAACACTGCTTCTAATACTTCTCAGTGAATATTAGACTAGGAGGCTTTACTGTTATTGTCACTCCATTTGAAGTTGTTGCAATTGCCTCATAATTGGATTCATTGTCACCTACATAGTCACCACCCTGGTGAAGTTCTTTACCTTGGGAGAGCTTTCATATTTGCTAAATATTGCTATAAAGGACGGGTGGTTTAGTTCATTTCTCTCTTCGCTGCAATTCCATTGACTTCGTCTAAGCAAACCTCTCATCTGTGCATCATTATAGCCAAGGCTGCAAAGGAAGCCCTGGAATTCAATGTCATTGATGTCTAGAGGTGTCCCCCGGATATCATGAAGTTGGTTTGTCAAAGCAGTTCCGTTGTTGTTGATATTATATGTAGTGGTCATCAACTCATCAAAGCTGATCAGATGGCTGTCCCAGACTCCCCATAGGGTTAAGAACTTTCAACAAAACTACCACAGCTGCATGGGGTACTTCCATTGATGTGCCTGAGCACTATGCATAGTCTCTCACAAATACGTAGTTGCCTGTTTTAATGAAAGTCTTGTTTAGGGAGTGCGTTGTGAGTAGATTGCAAAATGACTTCTGATATGTAGCAAAATGAGCTGGAGATATCTCAATTTCAGATAGCTTAGTGGAAGTGAGCTAGCACTGAAGCCATGAGTGATATGGTTGTAACTTGTATTATAAGAAAGAAACAGGTTTAAGTGAATGGTCCTTCTGGACTGTGTATGTCTTGTATTATTCAGGGTCTTGCATTGCATTGTTGATTTCAAGCGCCAACAACTAAAGTAGCCACAAGATAACAGAGATTAACTGTATAAGTCCATCCTTCTAGTCAATGCTTCACAGAGGGAAGAGTGTGGATCAGGAAGACCTTTATGGATGATTTATTTTTCCAATAGTCTTCAAGGCCTATGGTCTTGTTTCTGGGTCATGTAGCAAAAATAAGATATAGCCACTCCAACAACTATGCTGTTAGAGACAGGCTTGAAGAAACACATTCTTGTTGTTTTTTTTGCTTCCCTCCGGAAAGAAGAAGATCTCCACAATGATTCTCCAGCCAATACGTTTAGTTGTGACGAATAAGAAATTTCGAAATTCCAATTCAAATTTGCTTTCTTATATAAGATTAAGAAACCGAAAATAATATTTGTCTTCTACAGGGAACATTATTGCCACACGAGTCTATGACTGATCCATCTTAAAGCTTTAAATCTTCAAGATAAACAATCACGTGATTTATTGATGAATAACTATGTTAAGAGTGTGATCAGTAATTCAGGACCACCACAGGGCTCGCAACTATGTGGTCATTTTGATCGATCCACTTTAGATAACCGTAGGTCACGAGAGGAGCTTTACCGTACGTCTGCACGCTCACAACGAAGTTTGCTTTTGGTATTTGTTTGTGAAGGTTAGGGTGGATGGCTCCACTGTGAATGTCATTCCATAGGTTGTTTCCACAACAGCGTGGTAAACTGATTGGTCATCTCCCACATTGGTCACAACTCTGGTAAATTTCTTAACATTCGGAGAGGTTGCATTAAACATGGCAACAAATGATGGGTAGTTTATGTCCATTTGCTCTTGGCTGCAATTCCATTGGCTTTGTCTAAGAATAGCTTTCATCTCTGCGTCACTGTAGCCTAGACCACATAAGAAATCAACATAACCTTGCCAATCTATGTCATAGATGAGTCCGGGATCCATGGCTTTGTTTGGATTGATATGACCTGCCCCATAATGTAGAGGTGTTCCGGGAAGGTCAGTGGATTGGTCTGTCAAAATAGTTCCATTGTTGTCTATGGTATATGCTGTGGTCATCAAGGCTGATCGAATAGCTGATGGGCTCCATTCAGGGTGAACAGCTTTAAGCAAAGCTGTCACTCCAGCAACATGAGGTGCTGCCATTGATGTGCCTGAATATAATGCGTAATCTGAACCCAAAAGATAATTATCAAGATATTGAACTTGAATTGTTGGTGGGATTGCAGCCAACACATCGACCCCTGGAGCAATAATATTTGGCTTTAGAATGTTTGGGCTAATAGGGTTTGGTCCTCTCGAAGAGAAGTAGGCCACTTGTGGTGCTGGCTTTGTGCCGAAACTTGTGAGCACAAATCTCATGATTTTTACTCTTGCGTCATCAGCTGCCTCTGTAGCATACTTTTTTTTATCGAAGCACCAGAAGAAGATGGTAAAATCAGGCTTGGAGTGCTGAGTCCATCAATTCCCTCCGGGGTCGAATCTGAGATAAGTATTCCCGCAGCTTCACCATTTCTTGAAAGCTCTTCCGCTTACTCAAAAACGCTAATAATGCTATTGATATCACAGATGACCACCTTTCCATAGACTTCATTTTCAGTCAATACTCCAGTGCTGCATGTTGCTTTGTCAGAATCACCTTTGCCATAGTACAAAGGTGTATCTATAACTAAAACACGGCTTGGGAACTGTGATTCCTTCGAATGTTTGATTGTTTCCTAAGGTCACCGTTGCAGTGAAACTCCGATCGAGTGTTCCTGCACCAAATGTAGTAATCCATGGTGCTGCATTTTGTGTAGTACAAGGTTCTCCATCATTCCCAGCGGAGCAGACAACAACAATCCCTTTCTCTATTGCTGAAAGGGGAGCAATGGCTATGACATCTTCGAAACAAGCTGTCTGATAAAAACATAGAGATAGTGACATGATGTAAACGCCATCTGCGATTGCTTGATCCATAGCAGCAAGAACATCACTTTCTACAATCAATTCTCCGGATGATACTTTGTACATAGCAACATGTGCACCTGGTGCCAACCCCCGGGCTACACCCTGTGCATATCCGAATTGACTTGCACCTGGTAGGCTGGTACATGGTTACCTGCTGCGGTTGATCATGTGTGCGTTCCGTGTCCCAAAAAGTCTCTTGGTGTATCGTCTGGCGAGTCTGATTCACCCGCAGCCTGACTTCCTTTGATAAATACTTGGGCGCCAATGAGTTTTCTATTACAAGTAAAAGGATCGATTGTAATATTCTGACACTTGCCCTTCCACCTAGTAGGAACTGCTGGCATTCCTTTTTCGTTGAAACTGTCGCTCTCAGGCCAAACTCCTGAATCAATCATTCCTATAATCAAACCTTCACCATAAGATGACGCATTCCACAAGCCAGATGAATACCTTAACCCCAT